ATGGCATGTCCTATGCAATTATTCATTGATTTTATCCCAACTCCTATCCTGTTTTCAGTGTCCTTCCCAAAGCTCATTAAGGCATGAAGCCTTTCTCCATTGCACACAATTTTTGGAAAATATAAATCACTTTTTGTGAGCAACAGCTCTAGTGTCTTCACTTTTTAGATACAGCGCCCACCAGCCCAACTGCTTACTTATCTCTCTTGGATTAAGGTGAATATATTTTCTTCATCTTGTTACAAAGATAATGTTGCAAAGATATCCTTGTATAAATCTTGGATAATCTGTATGATTGTTACTTTAAAACAGAGTCCCAGAAAAGGAATTCCTGGATGAAAGGATATAAACTTATTTACTCAACAAATATCTATACAGCTCTTTGTACATATTAAATTTATAATACAGGTGCTTTAAATCCATGACTAGTAAAAATCTAAAACTCACAGCCTTTATCTGTTAACACTTATGTAATGAGTATTATGGGTATAGTGTTCTAAGAGCATAACAAATATTATCTCATTTAATCCTATGACATAGCTCTTACTAAGATGTCCATTTTACAGATTGGAAAACTAAGGCACAGAGATTCTAACTAACATGCCCAAAGTTGCATAACCCAAAAGTAGCAATGCCAGGACTAGAAGCCCAGGAATTCTGGTTCTAGAGTACATGTTACACTGTCTGTTCCATCTCAACATAGAAAACCTATAATCACACTCTTGCTTTATTTTGGACTTCCCTGAAACAAAGCTGGATAGTCTAGGTTATTTTTCAGTTAGATTCTGAAGAGACATCTAGGTTGATCATTTAGTCATTTGATTTTTTTCAGTGTACATGCTCCTCATGCTTAGATCTTTAGTGTCATCTCTTCACCCATTTGATTTTGAGTTATAACAATAAAAACTAATACAGATCTTTGTATGGAATACTGTGTTCTTGAAATTAGAATCTTTAGCTAAGATGTGGACATTCTGCTCGCTTCAGACCCAGTAAATGGTTCCTGGCAGCCCTGGCTGTTACCAAGATGGCAGTTTCACCAACTCCAGGGTTTAGACTTGGAAGAAAGCATTTGTTTTTGTGACTGGAGTCCATTCTTCTGTTGTGAAGTCAAATTGAAAGAGCTGTGGATTTGGGGAAGTAGATCAAACAAATCTCTTAATACTGTATAAGAAGAATAGCCCTGTTACCCCTGTGGTGCAACACCAGCCCTGCCGCATAATAACAGAGGCTGGTGGGTGCCTTTTCCCATGCCTGGAGTGATTTTAGAACAGCTAATGAAATTCATTACTCATCTAAGAGAAAAAGAGTAAGAGTAAAAAGCACT